AAAACCCCCCCCATCTGTCTTGAATAGAAGTCGAGCCTCTAAAGGAGGTAGGGGGCCCGGGTAGCAGAGCTAAAATTAGCGAGAAAATAAAAGTTTGGTGACTTCCAAAGCTTGAGAGTCCTTGATAACTTTGGATTTACATTGTTTGTGCCTTTGATCAAAGTTTTTCAGGAAAATCCACACAGAAATGTGTTTTTAAAAGAACATAAATGCTTGTGAGCTAAAAACAAAAACAAAATTCGTTCAAAATTGCCAAAACGACAGAAAAAGGCTGGTATCTTCGATTTCATTATTTTGACGAGCGCTTGATTTCCCCACAATGCTCCACATTTTATTTCCCCATCGACACAATTTTGGTAACTTTACAGGCTGCCCAATTCGGGCACCTTTCATACCAGGACTCAGGACTATCAATGGTATAGTCGGAAGCGTTTTACTCCACTGTCAGATTTTAGGCTCTCCACTATCAGATTTTAGGATCAAAGACATAGACTCCATGTACATGAACAGCCAAGTCACTATGTTGCAGATCCTCCAGATATTTGGAATATTACGTTTTGCACTGATATATCAGCAAGATGGGGGTGAAAACATGTTACATCTTATATATGTGTATGGTGTATGCATGCACTGAAATGTCTCCAGTGTGTATGTGTGATTTTTTCCTTTAAAAACAGTTTAGGATGAGCAACTCAGAACAGCATCCATGCGGAACCGGCAGTCAAACAGCAGCTCATGTGTACAAGTCTTCCCAATGCATGAAGCACTTAGGACGAAGTATTTGCCCAAACCTGAGCAAGAAACCCTACAACTTCAATAACTTAGGAGGCAGGGTGCTTTGACTCCTCTCGTGAGATACAGCATCCCAAAAGACAGACGGAGGTAATCAATTTACCCCCCTCCCCCCTTAAAAAACAACAACAACAACAACAAAAAACAACTGAACTAACTTGCCTCACTGGGAGCTTAACTACTGCACCACAAACTTCGATTAGGAGGTGTAGGCGATAGGTTAACAAAAGAACGTATGAGGTGCTAATGTCTGAATGGAAACAAAAAGGCAGAAGGGTAAAAAGTGTTTTAAAAAAAGGGAGGCACGACGAAAAAGAGAGGAAAAATATGAAGGGACTGTGAGTGAGTGAAAGAGAGAGAAAGGGGGGTTGCGAGTTTTAGTTTCAGTAAGAGTTTTACGGCACTTGCCATACAATAAGTGCCGAAGATTAGAGGTGTTTAAGACAGTAACAAGCACGAAAAAGGAGGAAGAGAGAGGACGAGAGCTTTTGATAGGAAAGAAGGAGTAAACCACATCAGAGCACCCGCCAACAACCCACGGAGATTTCGAAAGAGATTTCGAGAGATTTCGAGAGAGAGAGAGAGAGAGATTTCGAGAGAGAGAGAGAAAGAGAGAGAGAGAGAGAGAGAGAGAGAGAGAGAGAGAGAGAGAGAGAGAGAGAGAGATTGGGGTGGGAGAGAGTGGGGCGAGGGGAGAAACACTAGAAGAACCAGAATAGTGAGACCATTGGGCCGTCTTCATCCAGTGTGTGTCCGTGAGCGTGGGATCAGGGCCACAAACAGCGGTCTGTGTATGCGTGCACGTGTGAAAGCGGCGATGTCCCGACGTAGTTTCCCAACACAAAGTCCCCAGCTTCAGAAGTCTGGGACAATTCGACGTTAATAAGTACATCTCTGAGACTTGTCACTCGGAGTAAATAGTGAACAGGGAAATCTGTTTGCTTAGGTTAGGGAGAGAAAGTGGTGTTTGTGAGCTTGGGTGGGGTTGAGGGGGTGGAATGGAGGGAAGGGTGGGTCTGCAAAATATAACAGTGGAGGGAGGGAGGGAGGGAGGGAGGGAGGGAGGAGGAGGAGGAGGAGGAGGGATAGTAGAGAGTGTGATGGTTTGACTATTCAATTCTTTCCTTCAATTTTTAAAAAATCTGTTAAAGAAGAGTTTTCTTCGGTAGGGTGAGAAGGGGAAGTGTTTTTTTTTAGGAGGGGGGGATGAGAGTGCAGTCATAGGATAAGGTGGAGGAGGAGGAGGTGGAACATATGCTTTGAGCGGAGGCGGAGGAGAAGGAGGAGGAGGAAGATTAAGAGAGGGTGATGGAAGTGCAGTCATAGGAGATGGTGAAGGAGGAAGAGGTGGAACATATGCATCGAGCGGAGGAGGAGGAGGAAGAGGAGGAG